TTATTATTATTGAAAAGTGGGGGAGCACGCCCGCAAGTAAACGATACGTAGATCAATTTGAGAGCAGTGCCCTTCGCTACGACCCATCTGACTTTATTTTTTTTTTCAAACAGTGTATCGACGGGGGCAGAAAAGAAGATGGCAGAACGGCGCCCGGTTGGCGGGCCTAAGGGGAAGAGGCGGGAGGGGAAGGGGAAGGGAGTCCTGGGCCTCGGGCGGCAGAGAGGCTCCACCTAAGGGGACAGAGAGGCGACAAGGAGGGAGTGTGAGGGGAGAGGGGGAAGGGAGGGTGTCTACTGGGAAATCAAGAGGGAGCAGCAGCAGCGCAGTCAACCAGCAGCAGCTGGGGCGCGCACGGCCACGGGGCAGAGGCCGGCGCACAGGCAGAGATAGAAAGAGAGAGAGAGAGCAGAAGGCCGGGGCACGGCGCTCCCGGGAGCCCCCCGGCGCCCCAGGCCCGCCAAAACAATAAAAAGGTTTTATGTTTCCCTCTGACGGACCCGGCGCGGCGGCTGTGTCCGGCAGCGGCCGGTCCTGGCCGCTCCAGGCCGCTCCAGGCCGCCCCAGGCCAGTCCAGGCCGGTCCAGGCCGGTCCAGCCCGCTCCAGGCCGCTCCAGGCCGCTCCAGGACGCTCCAGGCCGCTCCAGGACTCTCCAGGACTCTCCAGGACTCTCCAGACCGCTCCGCACTGTTATTCAAGGAATGTGACGTCACATTCGTTTCGATGTGAAACGTGTCACATTCGTTTGAATATTGTGACACATTCATTTGAACGTGACTTCACGTGAGTTTATGATCAAATAGCACCAGGCATTGGGCGATTCACGTTTAAACGAATGTGACACAACATTTAAACGAACGTGACACGATTCACAATAAAACGAATGTGACGTCACATTCTTAGAATAACAGTGCGAGTGCACGGTACTACCATGGTAAAGGTGCCATCCAGGATGTTAGAACACTGTAGCGATCACATTGGAACCTGCTCGGTCATCGGCTCGATGCATCGAATCTCGATAGTTATCGAGGTAATCATCGAACTGAATCTTCCAAAAACATCTCGATCCATTGCACACGATATAGAGACCGCAAAATCCTATACTTGAGATCCTGTAAAACGCACAGCAGAACTTTGAAAACTGAACAACCCACAGAACATACTAGGGCTTTTATGAAAAACAATAACGCGTTCCAGGAGTATTTTTTTATTATCATCATCGTCATCATCATTATAGTATTTTTTCACAGGGAATAAAGATTATAAACATGGGGTGGGATGGGTTTCTCTCGGGAGGACGGTTGGGCCGGCAATCAGCCCGCACAAGTACGATCGTTATTTACAATAGCGTTGTACAGTGTACAATGTACAGTGTACAACGTACACGATTCATACACATAGTATACAGTTAGTCAGTGCATGGAGACACTGCAAAAAAAAAGTTATCACGATAGAACCAAGATACCCTGCAACCACTGACCTGCCGGCCGCAAGCTCGCATCGGTGCGTCGACTTCAAATTATGAAAGTTGTCGAAGATAGAGCTGGGGGTGCTAAAAGCGTCACCGGTGAGAAACTACTACTGTCGGAAACTTAGTTCCATCATAGTTCCAACAGAGTTTCGATGTTACTTCCTCAGGGCGCCCTATCTAAAGCGCAGGCAGGACGAGTTGGATAGTATTATCATTATTGTTATATGTACAAAGGAAGTCGATGACAGCAGTGGCACGGGTGATCTCTACACGGAGCACACTTGGAGGTGCCAGGGGTCCGAGGTCAGGGCGAGGTCAGCGGCCAAAATGCTCGCCCTCCTGACCCTTATCACATTTTTTTTCGAAAGTTCCGTTTCAGACAAAAAATAACCCGCGGCGTACTCTTCGGCTTGGCCGCACACTAGAAGATGTGCCCCCCGGCGCCGTGGAGGTAGCCGCCCAGGAGTGCAAAGGGCGACGACAGCGACGAGTCGCCGCCCAGCCCCATGTGCTGTTGCTGCTGCTGCTGGTGTTGTTGCTGCTGTTGCTGCTGCAGGGGAGTGGCTTGCTGCCGGCACGGTTGCTGTTGTTGTTGCTGCTGCTGTTGCTGCTGGTGCTGTGGGGAGAGCGGCCACTTGTTGTTGTTGATTTGGGTGAGGCCAGACGAGTCCAGTTTGCCTGCAACACACAGGGAGCAAACGCTGCTGTTAGCGGGGTCAATTTGACACGCAAAGCCAACGCCAAACATCTCAGCCCGCGGCACCGGCCATAGTAGACCACCCCCTCTCGCGAAATATTTGTCTTCATTGTCATTCGTTCATCTCTTTGGTACTCGAAAGGCTCGAAATGCACTCATAAAAATCACGAGCTAAATTAAGCACACGAAAAAATGTACTAACACTTTTTTAGATGTGGAGAACTACTGATATGGCGCAGTCCTGGGTATGGTTTCTCTCTTTCCCTCTAAATCGCTCTAAATAAAAGATTTGCCCAAAAACAAGGGTTAAAAACGTTTTCCGTAAAATTCCCGAAAATATCCCGGAAATAAAGGAAAACTTCCATGCTTTTCCATTTTTCCGAGAAATTTTCCGGAAACTCTCTAGGGCTTCCAACCCTAACAAAAACGCAGCTCTGTGAAAAAGTGCACAGCCGCCACACCACCGACGGCACCACCCTGGCCTGACAACTCCGCACCGCTTTGACGACGTGGCGGGGGCGCGGTGCCAAACCACGGGGCAGGCCTGGGGTGATGATACATGTGCCCTGCAACAAGTTGGCCTATGACAAGGTGCAAGTGGCCCGCCTGCCAGCTCTCGTTATAGTCGTGCGAAATCTATTTTTAAAAAAATACCCTCAAAAAAACATAGCTCAAAGGGCAGCATCAGTGTTGTTGTAAATCAGTTTTATTACGATCATCGTCATTAATTTTAGATATACTAAAAGTTGGTGAAAATTGCAGAGGCGGAGGTGGTGGTGGTTTTAGGC